TTAAAATGACATTTTATTGTATAAAGAAAGTATTAGAATAGAACAGAATATCAATATTGGCTCAAACAGACCTTCTGTTCAAGACAATGAAGTGGACGGCAAATATTGTAGTGTACAGGAACAGCGGGAGCATTATCAACCCGAAAATTCGAGCAAGTAAGTGCTTCCCAAAATCCACCTGGAGAAAAACAAGAAACTATTTTCAGTATACACTACAATAAAAAAGTGAGATTTTTAAAAAAAAAATTAATACTTTTATACAATGCATTAAATTGATCAAAAGCAATAGTAAAGACTCCTTTGTAAAGACTAAATAAATGCTGTTCTTTTGAACGAATCCTGGAAACATATATCAGCAAGGAAATATTAAGCAGCACAACTGTTTTCAACATTTATAATAATAAATTATTCTGGTTCAGAAAATCAGTATATTAGAATGGTTTCTGAAGGATCATGTGACACTGAAGACTGGAGTAATGATGCTGAAAATACAGATTTGCGTCACAGTAATAAATGACATTTTAAAATGAATTAAAACAGAAAATTCCTATTTGTAATAATATTTTGAGAACATTACAATCATTTTGATTAAATAAATGGAGCCTTGTTAAGAATAAGAGACTCCTTTCAAAAATATTTTTAAAAAATAGTAGTAAACAGGTTCTCATTTCTACCAGACACAAGCTGAGGTCCCCAAGTAGCCTCCACAGATCAAATGCTGTGTTGATTCCCACCAAGAGGATGACAAATAGCCCCACAAACTTCACTCCCAGAGAACCAGAGAGGCAAACCCCGGTCAGAAGCAGCCAGAGCCACCAGGAGAAGCTGAAAGACCTGAAGGCAAAAAAAATTGCATTCCTGATCCATTACGTATACAAACTCAAACAACAAATCTACAGAGAGATTCCTCCTCTACCTGTGTCTCTGTGTGTTGAATCTAACCATGCACAGAACAGAGCCCATGATGAAAAACATTAGAATGGGATCCAGGAGAATGTACTGAGACAGGGTGATGCAGCCAGTGTCTGTTGTAAAATAGACCATTTGATTTAGATTCAGATTATAGTCGTTGAATACAGCTCTGTGTTGATGATCACTACCACACTCACCAAAAATAAGAAGAGAGGCTGCGATTAGCGCTGCTGGTGGAGAATGCGACAGCTCCAGGACAATAAGAAAGGCAAAAGGAGGAAGGCAGGAACCAAGAGCTGCACAGAACTACACACAAAGGAATAATAATTAAAAAAGATTAGAGCTTACACTCAAACAATGATAGGATTTTGAATGGTAAAATTAAAAAATGAATTAGATCTGGATTTAGTAATAGTCTGCTAAATTGTTAAACATTGTAAAACTAAAGTATAGATATATATGTATATATATTTACTAACTAGTACTTTTTTATATATTAATGTGTGTGTGTATATATATATATATATATATATATATATATATATATATATTGTGTTTGGCAATTAATAATCTCAAAATAAATCCAAAATAAAAGTTTGTTTACATAATATATGTGTGTGTACAGTGTAAAATTATTATTTGAGTGCACTCAAATAATGATAGGATATTGAATGGTAAAATTAAAAAGATGAATTAGATCTGGATTTAGTAATAGTCTGCTAAATTGTTAAACATTTTTTAAATTAATACATTTAAAAAAAGCATTACTGTAATAGTTTTCTATAACCATATATATATATATATATATATATATATATATATATATATTTAAATTATTTTACCCATGCATGTATATTATATATAAATAACACAAACTTTTATTTTGGATGCGATTAATCGTTGACCAGCACTATATATAAATATTTATATATACAATATACATATATCAATTCTTATATATTTTACTAACTATGTTTTCACATATAAATAACTTAAGTTTACATTTGCCCGAGAAATCTGCGTGAAAATGATAGGGAGACAATTCAAGGTTTACCGCTCTCATTCCCCAGTAGTTATGGTGCTCATACTTGTCCCCAGGTTTTATGAAGGGAAAGGTGCCATCATAGCCTGTCAGGTATCCAGCAAGGCCGATCAGCATCTGAGTGATGAGTGCAGATTAATTCATCATTTTGAAAAAAACTGTGAAAGAGAGATTATAGTTGAGCAACAGGGTTTAGACGCAATGAAATCTATACCTTTCCAAGGGGTGGATGGACGTCAAAGAAGAAGGTGCGATTAATGTAATAACTTCCCATTTTCCCGAAATGAGTCTCATCCCAACTGCAATAATGGACCATAATATTTATTGGTTATGATATTACGGTTATTATCACAATTCTAAAAATCTAATGCTTACCATACATGTGGAGGCTCAGTGATCTTGTAAAAGCGAGTACATACAGAGAACACAAGCACCAAGACCAAAGTATAACATGAAACATGATCATCATCTCTGCAGGGAGAACTGAAGTGTCCTCCTCGCTTGGGGATCCTTTTATTTGTCCCGTTAGAAGGTTGGGAACGGCATTCAGCACCCTCGTTTACCCTACATGTCTGTCGATGTCTTACAGCTGATGTGTGTTGTTGTCTTTGTGAGTAAAGCTCCTTCGGTCTGCCGTCCATTAGCAAGTTTTTTGATGAAGACAGTAAGTCATTATTAGTGTGGTAAAACACTATAAAGACAGTGCCTTCAGACCCATGGGTTTATGGTAATTAAATCCTTACAGGATTTAAGATCTTGCAACTTGGTAGTGGTGACATTGCTGGCTGAATGAGACTTCTCTCAGATGTTTCGTGGGATGTTCTGGATGGGGAAGTATTGGGAATGTCTGCACTTCACTGTCACCTGCTGGACAGGAGAGGCACATGCAGCCACAATAAATCCAGAGCGTGGGATTTTATATGATGACAAAATACATGGATTTAAATTAATAAAATGATGCATGGAAAAGAAGCTGTCGACAGTCTCAGTTAGGAGGTCATTCTTACCCAGAATGCTTAAACTTATATCCAAGCATAATTTCTCGCCACACAATTTTTAAATTTGGAACAACTGTAAAATTCTTCATAAGAGGACATCTTTATTTCTTGAAAATTGGTTAAATAATTGATTGATGTTAACAAACCAGCTATTTGATAGTGAAGGTAATTTATTTAATTATTCCGATTTTGTTTCAGGATACCAATTCCCTGTATCTAAAGAATTTAATTTAGTTGTCAAGGCCATATTTTTGGAAATCTGTATGCTGTTTAGAAACAATAATAGTGCTACATTGACTTCTGTTTACCCCCCCTAACCTTGAATCTACTATGTGGTTTGTTTTTCAATGCATAAATCCACTTATAAAATTAGGTCATTATTTTTGGACCCTGTTACTTCAATTCCTTATTGGAATAACCTTTTTGATGATATTAAATGGTCATATGTTTGGTCACTTCCTCAGAAATTCTTTCTAACAAATAAAGTTAAAGACATATCCTATAAAATTTTTCAAAGATTGTATCCAGTTAAATACTTTTTAAAGAAATTTAGAAATGATATTGATACTTCCTGCTCTTTTTGTGAAGCCTCCTCTGAAACTATTGATCATTTGTTTTGGAAATGTCTTTTTACTCTGTCTTTCTGGAACATTATTGATGCTCTGATTGTCCAAAAGTTGTTGTTTTTTTTGTAACTTTTTTTGTTTATTGATTATATAGACACATAAATCATATAGACATATTCTTTTTTGGGGGTTTTATGTCAAAGACAAGATAAATCTTCTTATATTGTAAAGTTTCATATCCATAAATGTAAATTTATGAAAAGTAAACCCCACTTTAGCTTTTTCAAAGAAGAATTAAATATGTATTTAAATACAATTTCAGTTTTTTTTCTTTTTGTGCCCTCTTCTTTTTTCTTTTCTTTCTTCTCTTACTCTCTTTATCTTTTTAGACTATTGTTAAATATATCCATATTTTATCAGAATTACGGCAAATAGGTGATTAACACATTAGATGATTAACACATAAATGCAGACACATACACCAGGCTCATGCCTTGCACTTTAATCAGGAGTGGAACTATAATGTGCAATAACATCTTTTGTACTTTTGAAATTCATGATCAAGTCCTTCAACACCACTTCCGACCACTGCTGTGAAGAAGAATCTACAAACAAGTGAAAAAGTCATTCTTAAAACTCCATTAGATGAGTGTATGGTCCGTTTGTATCCAGCTTCAGTACTTGTCGGTTTCCATAGGTTCCATGTTTGACCTCTGTGACAGTGTCACTGTTCTTACAGGCTGAGAGTTCACTTTGACAGAGAGACACAAAACTGTCATAAAGCCTTAAGCCTTCATCTTTCCCAATGTTGCCATGGTACTGCATCCCTTTTCCCTTTGGTTTTCCTCCAAGTGTGGCTTGTGGAACTATGAGAACACTGCCAGGTAGTGCAAGGACTGAGGTATACTTTCCAGATTCGTTCTCACAAAGCTTCATGTTCAGCAGAGTGTTCACTGAGAGGGGAAAAAAGCAGTCATTTAAGCTCTTATTGAATTGCCCAGCCTATATATTGTATTCAGAATTAATCCATACAGTATGTTTTATTGCAAATGGGAAGAGAAATTGCATACCCATCTTGGGGATTATATCTTCAGTTGCACCTTTGAAAAAGCAGATGTAGATAACCATTCCCCTGTTAATCTGAATGATCAGAAATACACTGGACAGGTCATCATTTGAGCAAAAACTGTACATTAAATGTATAGTTATTTTTCTGCTACCTCAACCCATTCAGCTTCACTCTCAGCATCTGGAGGTTTGACCTGCAGTCGAGCATGCAGACATTGCTGGAGAATCACTCGCGCTTTCATGTCGTTATCTGTTCTCTCGGACATTGCTACGAAATAAGACGGAATACAATAAAAATTACGAATGTGACCAATTTACTTCCAAGATAATATAAATACTATCTGTTTTGATGCGTCAACTTAACTGTTTCATTTGTAATTTAAATGAACTCTGGAATTACAGGGGGTTCCGTTTCCGCGTGTGAAGCCAAACATTATACGTCATCAACAGGAGACAGTGCAGCGCTGCACGACAGCTCATGCCATATATTTTGAACTTAACTGCACTGTATTTGCAATCTTTAATGTTTTTAAAGAAATAAATTGAAACTCCAGCGTATCCACGTGCTTTAAACTGACACCACCGCGGTGGTAGTCTTTATTTTGCTCGTGACATAGTCTGTGATCTTTTATAAACCGGATAAGATGGTTCAATTACAGTACAGCTACAAAAAGCTATTTCAAATATATACATTTTCCTCAAATATTATAGGCAGATCGCTATTGCCTAGCAGATTTGTTCCATCACATCAAAATAGCCAGGAAATTCGTTTCAAGGTAAGAATATGTCAGAAATAGATAGTGATTACTTTGCCATTATTAGTATGCTTGCTTTGGTTTTGTCTCGTATGTAATATGATCACTGTCCCCCTGCCTGTTCATGTTTTTGTGTCAAGATTGTATATTTGCATCTGTCAACATTATGTAAAGTATCCTTAAGCTCTTGAAAGGTGATATATAAATATTGCTTATTGTATAGCATGTATTTTTGCACAAAGATGCATAAACTCCACTACATTAAATTATAGACCGTAATAGTGGTGCACATGCTCACACTTTATTGTGTTAGACTTCAGGTGCTGGTGAACGAGCTCTACAGGAGAGACAGAGGCAGCACATGGCACGAGGTTTGCCAAAACAGAAGCCAATAGCTGGAGTGAAGGAGGTCATTGTTGTTGCATCGGGGAAAGGAGGGGTGGGAAAGTCCACAACAGCAGGTCTATTGTCTTTTGCATTCTTTGACCTTTGTTTGTTTCATTTCACAATAATCTAACAATAAAAAATATGCCTTTGGTCAACTGCTATATTCCTCTGAAACACTAATTTAGTTGAGTGTCTTCTCAGTGAATCTTGCTCTTGGACTTATGGCTAATGATCAGGTAACGTACATAATCCAGATAACCCAATATAAGCCACTGTATTAAATCCACACAATTATTGCAGATGATTTGCCTTGAATAAAAGTAAAAAGTAAAAATAAATCTTCTTTTATACCGTTTTTGCTTGTAGAGTAAATCAGTGGGTCTTCTAGATGCTGATGTTTATGGCCCTTCAGTTCCCAAGTTAATGAACCTAAAAGGAAACCCTGAATTAACAGACAGTGAGTATTGTGGCCACATTTGCTTTGAAACAAAAATCATGAAAATAATAAAAAATAAAAATATCCGGTTAGTTAGTCAGTCATGTCTGATCCATTTTTCCTCTTTATTTTCAGATAACTTGATGAGGCCACTTGTAAATTTTGGAATTTCTTGGTAAGTACATTTCTGAATTAAAGCTGTAATGGAACAATTATATTTTATATTATATATTTAATATTATTGATTACCATTTAAATATTCCGGTGTCGTTTGATAGAAGTATCTTATGCTCCACAGCATGGCTGCATTTATTTGATCAAAATACAGTAGAACAGTAATACTGCAAATTATTATTATTATTATTATTGCAAATTTAAAATACTTTTTATTTTATTTTTTTATTTTTATATATTTTAAATACAATTATTATTCCTCTCATTGCAAAGCTGAATTTTCAGCATCATTACTCCAGTCTTCAGTGTCACATGATCCTTCAGAAATAATTCTAATATGCTAATTTACTGCTCAACAAACATTTATTATCATCAGCATTGGAAACGGCTACACATTTTTGTGTAAATCATGAGATTTTTTTCAGGATTCTTTGATGAATAGGAAGTTCAATAGAACAGCATTTATTTGAAATAGAAATCTATTGTAACATTATAATCTCTTTCTAACAATATATCTTTACTGTTACTTTTAATCAATTTAATGCATCTTTGCTGTATAAAAGTCACTTACTGAATAACTGTCACTTTTGATAATCCGTGCTGAATAAAATGATACAATTATTTTTAAAACAAATAAACAAAAATCTTATTTTATTTTTTTCTCCAAATTTATTATTATTATTATTATTTTAATGTCTTAAAGTTTGCTTCCCTGCCCTCTACAGCATGTCAATGGGCTTTCTGGTTGAAGAGGTGGCACCTATTGTGTGGAGGGGTCTGATGGTGATGTCAGCTATTGAGAAACTCATTAGACAGGTGTGTAATTTAGATGTAGAAATTGCTGTTGATAATGGGATTTATCAAATATATAATTGTGGCGAGCAGGATGAGGTCGAGGGCCGTGGGAGGCCGGTGGCGTGATTACTAATGAGCAATACCTGCACGGCGCCCTGGTCTCTCACGGCCCTCGGCCTCGTCCTGCTCACCACAATAAATTTTCTCCATGGTCCTCGTCCAGCACAAATAGATGCGATTTCTTCAATGGAGTTCTGTTTCCATTCATTAGCATATCTTAATCTTGAATGTGCATGAATTGGTGTTTCCATGCAAAAGTGTGCACAATTTATGTAAAATTGTTGTTTCTTTCACTACTATAATGAGTTTTCCCTTGCAGGTAGACTGGGGGAATCTGGATTACCTTGTGATTGATATGCCACCTGGAACCGGAGACGTCCAACTGTCTATAACTCAGAACATTCCTATAGCAGGTAAATAAAAAATGTAATGGCTGATTTATACTCGGAAAGAAGAATTTTACCTAATGTAAATCACAACAAAGCACCATGGATTTTTAGATTCAGATTCTCATTTAAGGTTTGATTTGTCATTTCTTCTATCAGATGGGATGCATTAACACTAGTATTCAAAACATTCATAATGAAATCAGTTTTTACCTCTCTATATCACAATCTAAGTAGTAATTGACAGGTTTATTCATTGAATAACGAGTCTTTCTGTATACTTTATGTGGGCTTATGTCGGTTTCACCTCTTAGGTGTTGTGATAGTGTCCACTCCTCAAGACATTGCCTTGCTAGATGCACGAAGAGGTGCTGAGATGTTCCGAAAGGTTAACGTTCCGGTAAAGCATTTGCTTTGGTATTTAAAGGGTTCTACCTTTTCATTTAATTATAGTGTAAAGTAATTACATTGAAGCAATGTGACAGTCACATTTAACTGATTAGTATCAGTATTTATTTATTGCTTTATAAATATAAATATAAGAATGTGAATTGCACTTTTTTTCAGGTACTGGGTTTGGTTCAAAACATGAGTGTTTTTCACTGTCCCAAATGCAATCATCAAACACACATTTTCGGCTCTGATGGGGCTAAAGAGCTGGCTCATACCCTCGGTGTTGAGATGCTTGGTAAGATCTTTCATCAAAATATATTTCTTTATGATTGATTGATTAGCATGACATTTATGAAATATGATACAATTGTTTGTAACTAGATTTGATTCAAGTGGATTAGCCAATCTCTGAGGACACACTGTTTCTCTGTTCTCACTGCAGGAGACATTCCTCTTCATCTTAGCATTAGAGAGACATCAGACAAAGGACAGCCTGTGGTTGTGTCGTCCCCAAATAGCCCAGAAGTAAGTGGATCATAATCGACTCCTGTCTTACTTTTCATTGTTTTCTATTATGGTAGTTACTGTAAGCCTTTCAGGATCTTTGGGTGGCAAAATTTGCTACAACACCACTTTAGTAGCATATATTGATAGATTTTTAATCCAAAATTTTAAACCATTTCAGTAGCATGTGTTTATTATAAAAATCTACGAATTTGTACAATTCAGAAACCCTTGTTGTTAGCGACACCGGTGGCCGTTAAGTGAACTGCAGCCAGCAACGTACAAGAAACTGAATGTTACATCATTCAATGCCCTGATATATGTAATATATATATATATATGAAGAGTTCAGATGCAAAAGCCTCTAAATGCCATTTGAAATTTTCTTCTTTAATGATGATTTTTATCAAACTTGTATATTTAAGTTCAGTAATTTCACTTAAATGGCGATGATAATTACCTATTAATTGTTATTTAAGTGAAATAACTGAACTTAAATATACAAGTTTGATAAAAATCATCATTAAAGAAGAAAATTTCAAATGGCATTTAGAGGCTTTTGCATCTGAACTCTTCATATATATATATATATATATATATATGTAAACACGTGCTGTGCCCTTTCCTCTCAATAACAAAATAAACACACAACAAAAATGACAGCAGTGAGCAGTTAAGAACTTCTGATCATAGAGATGTGGAGATGCTTGCAAGTTCTGCAATTCACTCGCATTTTGTCGACAGACAACATATGAGATAAAATTACACAATTATATATATATAATAGTTTAGTATATTTGAGGCTATAGACTATATAGATGTGTCTATGTTAGACTAAAAAGTTGACTGAAATCCTTTTTTTTTTTTGCACAACACATTGACATTACAGTACAAAATGGCTCTTTCGGTATTATCTGGAACATTGTGTAAGCATTCATTTCATGTGACATAGAAGGGAAGAGAGGCTTTCGGGAATCACATCCTTTTGTTTTTCCCAGCAAAAACATCCCCAATCCTTCACATAAAACATTTTTTAATGTTCTGTTGCAAGCTGTTTACACGTTGGCAATAAAGTCATTTATACCTTGAAAATTTTGTACAAATAGCTCAATTAAATATAGGTACATAATGTATAATATAATATTACCTGAATATACTTGAATACTAAATTCTATATATTCTTTAACAGTCTTGCAGAAAATACATCACTGAACTAATATGACTTTTAAGTACTTTGGTCGTAAAATGTTAAACTAACCAAACCAAGTTTCAGATTATTTTTTAACAAGATTTAAAAAAAAAAAAACATTTATGAACTAATTTTATAATATAATAACAAATAATTGTACAACTAATTCTAATATAGTTATGCATATTTATCTGTCTTGCAGGCCGAAGCTTACAGAAGAGTTGCAGCAGCAGTAGTACGGCGACTGGGAAGCATCTAAGTTAAATGACTTCCAGATACAATGTAGTCTTGGTGACCTGAGGAAAATGTCAGTATTGTATATCATTGCCTCCTAATCAACTTATTTGCCCATTTAAATTGGTATCACATGCCTATTAGAATGTTATAATTTATCTTATTTATATACAGACATACTGTTAATGTTATTTACAGGCATTAAAAAAAACTCACATTAATAAAATAATTTTGAGTTTGAAAAGTTTGGGAAATCACAGATTACTTTAAATTCGCTAATGTAGTGGCCCTTTTAATGTACAAATCTAAGATGTTTATCTTTTCCCTCAAGAATAGTTGTGTTTACCTGGAAGGAACTGAGATAAAGCGCAAATTTAGTGCTGCTTCAGATGAAGATGCTCATTACAGGTCTTAGCCACTTGATGGCACTGCAAATGTATTCCGCATCTTATTGTGCTTTGTGTTTGATTTATAGTGAAACAAGCTAAATGAGGTCTTTCAGTTAAACTGTGACTTTTCCTATTATGATAGTTAACATGATTGGACTCTTACTTAACTCCATTTAATAAAGAAAAATGGTTCCAGTCCAGTAGGAAAGTGGGATGAAGTTTTCACGGGATGAGAAAAACAGGGTCACTTCCTGCATATTTTCAGAGTACCCTTGACTCAGCTGAAACAGCCGTATTCAGTCCACCCCTGTGTAACAGGCCAGACAGACCAGTCTGTGATTCATCACCGCAATGAAGCTATTCTGCTTTCTTTTAGTCTCAATTGCTTAACTGTTCCCAGAAGAACGACCCCGGGGTTTCAGCTGTACAATGACCTCAGCTGAATTTGGACAGTTACACATTTGGTGTTATTTATTTTCTCTTTGTTTTCATTATAAATAAAGCGCTATCCCGATAACATGCTTTGTCTGATGATGTCACTGAGTGCAGTGGTGTGACTCACACTGCCTTGAGTGTGTCATTGAGGTGTGTAAAAGGGCAAATAAACATCCATTCATATAGAGATGTGGAATTCACCCAAATTATGTTTGAGATTATTGTCCCGGAAAGGGGATTTCACAATGAATTGGAGAAAACTGAAAAAACCAACCAGCTGCTTCCACTTTGTTTTTTTTGGAGACTCGATGGCATATTCAGATTACTTAACAAGTAACATGATTGAGCATGTTTCAGGTAATTCCCAGTTTTGCTGGAAATTGACTTCTAAAACATGTCCCAGTGTCGTTGGGGTGTTATCTGTGACATTATAAAAGCAGACTTTGCCCCATGTGGTAAATACAGATTATAGCTCCCAAGGCTATGGGGAAAAATTCAATAATTAAACGGGGTAGCTGTGCAGCCCAAGAGGACAGTCTTATATCTGTGTCATCTTTGATTCATGAGCAGATACTGTTAATAAAATAAGCTGAGGTGCAAACAAGACATTTAAGGAGAAATCATTTCATTTTTTTAATGCATTTTGCTCAAGAAAGATCACACGGATTGCATGTTGTTGGTCCCGTGGCTGTAAATTGTTCTATTTACATTATTTATAGTAAAACAGAACACATTTTCAGTCAGATCCACGATCAAATGACCATCAACTATCACTGTAAGTTAACTGACACAATACTATAACTATAGTAAGCTTTCGCTGCATCCTCATGTACACTGTAAAAAATTTGGAGTAGGATTTACTTGAAAAAACCTTGCTAAACGATCTCACTCAGAAAATGCTAGTAAATTTACAAAGATTTGCCAAGTAAAAACCTAAACATATTTATCAGTAGCTTTAATTAGAAATCTTTAAGTTAAATTTACTTGGAATGTGGAATTAAGTAAACTTTACAAAAAATAAGTAATTTTAACTCGGCTTGTAAAAGGTTGATTAATACCGATTTCCTTTGCCTTTGTATTACACTTCACTAAAACAATTATCTTGAATTTTATTAGTCATTTATAGTATGTTCTTTACTTAGATCATCTAAATAATTTATATATACATCATGTCAGACTTTAAGCCTTATGTGAATGCAAACACCTCAATACTTGGTAGACAATACACAATGGCGGTAACATTTGATGGATCGTTTTTGTGTTTGAATGTGTCGTTTTAAGCAAAAAATTTACTCGAAATGTCACAAAATGGCAATTTACTAATACTGAAAACAAAAATCAATCATATAACAGTGTAAATACAGCTGGAAACCAGTGAAAAATGAACCTCATTAATTATTCAAGGTCCAGTGCATGATGGGAAACCCAGTATCAGAAAAGTTGAGTAATTTTTACTTAATTTTATTGAGTTGATATTACATTTATACTCGCTTGAAATAAGTACTGATATGGAATTTACTTAGTTTTTTAAATTCTTGCCTGAACTAACTTTTTCAAGTAAATTACATTGGGTTTTTTCACTAGTATTTACTTAACCAAAAAATCATTTTTTACAGTGACATGAAGTCTTCATGGTTAAAGTATTGGCTTCATGCATATTGGCTGAAATTAAGATCTGCACATGCATAATAAAATACATGTGTATAATTGATTACAATTATGTAAGGTTCATGCCTTTTGAGGCCAAGGTTTTTTCATTAAGTGGTTCTCACTATAGCTCCCCCTCTCTGGATGTCATGGGCGGAGCTTGACCTAGTCCAGCTCCACCTCTTTGGATCTAATGGGTGGAGGGACAGGGTTATGGGTAGGGTTAGGGTGTGTTTGGAGCTTATTGCTCCACCCATTACATCTACATTACATCCAGAGAGGGGGAGTTGGATTTAATGCTCCACCCATGGCTCTGCAATGAGCAGCCTAAGGTTTTTCAAAGCACATATATAAAACTAAAAAAAATGAACCAACCAGCTGATCCTAGTTCAGACAACTCCCATCCACTATCTGTTTTTGGTGACTCAATGACATATTCTGATTAACAAGCAACATGATTGAGCATGTTTCAGGTCATTTCTAAAACATGTCCTGCAAAACATAATGTTGCCATGTATAATATATCTTATTTAATGTTATATATGGGGACCTGATTCAGAAAAAAAATGTGCAAAAATTTTACAAATTTTACGGATATAATTGTGTGTAAGGGGGCGGCATTATTGTGTGCAAGTATACACGGTACACACACACACACACACACACACACACATATATATATATATATATATATATATATATATATATATATATATACACACACACACGTTACATGTATTTATTTTAGTAATAACTAAATAAACCATGAACCAATACGTATAATTACACTGTAACAGGGACACATTAAAATAACATTTAGCCTAACCTTATTTTTTTTATTCATGTTACTTACAATTCTAAGTTTTTGAAGTGTGCCCCATAAAGATAATGTTTTATGCACATTTATTTCCTGAGAGTGCACCATGTTGAGCTTTCCTATTTTATTTATTCTGTTAAGTTAGATCATCTTTTCTCCCCCTGTCAGCTTAACTAAAATATCAAAATATCCAAATGAAGTTGTGCTTGAATTCTTCAGAACTTATTTAATTTTTCATCCATTTTTAAGCTTTAGATTTTGACATTAGAGAGACATTTTGACAATATTCCACACATACTCTCCTCAATGACCCGGAAACCCAACCCTTCCCACAATCCTAAGCGTGTATCCATAACCATGGCAATGTGCTGCTATACTCAGGTTAAATAGCAGCAGCAGCTGGTTCCAATTGCACTGCAGCACAAGGGAACAGGAGAGGAGGATATGAGGGGAGGGAGAGAGGGCGATGTATGCTTAAAGAAACGCCTGTGAGTTGCTTTTAACTCTCTAGCATCATGGTCTTGTTAACAGTAAACTTTGGGGGCATCTCTATAAGCAATATTAGCCATATAAAACCAAGACGTAGTTTGTGTAGTTGATCAGGTATATACAGATATATATATATATATATATATATATATAAAGAACTTTGGGGGATACCCTTCCTGAACATTTACCTAAGTGCTTGGCTATTTAATCCACACAGCGATGACTAGCCCAATCTTGCACAATCAGGCTTCACACAAAGGGTGTGGACATCAGAGCTTCTCAGCAAGACTGCAAGCACAGCTGACGGTGAATAGCAGATCTGAGGGGTGTTGGAAGGAGATTTGGGGGTGGCGGGGGTAAATAATTCATGACGTAAAAAAAGGGAAGGCACTGCTAGACATATTAGTGAGGTATGATGCTAAGCGTTTGATGTCCACATGTTTGTGTTTAGTGAGCAGTAGCTGCCTTAATGAACATGAATTACTGCTGATCTGCATACAGCCTGTGTTAGGGAAGTTAGCATTACTGAATTCTGTTAGGCTCTATATCATAGCATGACCAATTAAAAAAATATCTCAATTAGTAAATGCTGTTATTGTTGACTAAAACATTTTTTTTACTAAATTGAAAAAAATAAAAGCTAATTTAAAATATTAATAAATACTGTAGCAGTATTTAAATAACACCAAAATACCACTGTTTTGAATCCAGAATGACACAAAAACAGTTTCAAAGGGATATTTTCAAATGTTTTTTAGAGGAAGTGAGGGCTGCATGTGGCTGATGGCAATAAAATTTGAATGTCAAATCCAGACACATATGACACTGTGATGAAATTCATTCGGCAGTCTTTTAAATCATTGTTCAAGAGAAGCTTTGGATAAAAGAGGCATATGTAGTCAAACTATCTGATTTATGGGCGTGATCTACTAAGGGCAGACCCAAAGAACCCTGAAAAAAATGAGCACCTAATGAGCATATGACAGTAATTTCTGAAGGATCATGTGACAATGAAGACGTTGTCATTACAGGAATAAAGACAGTTTTGAAATATTTTAAATTGTAATATCATTTCACAATTTTACTGTATTTTTGATTAAATAAATGCAGCCGTGGCGAGCGTAAGAGATTTCTTTCAAAAACAGTAAAAAAATATTTTTGAACTTTTGAATGGTATATATGCAGTACGTAAATATGTTATGACTTGAAGCAAACATTGACGGTAAAATAATTCTACCCTCTAAAAATGAAAACATAAAATTTTTTATTAATTGTGGTACCACATTTATAACCTGCGGTGGTACGTTTCATTGCACTTTCTTTAAATGGATAGAAACAAAAATGTTGTTAACCACATGACAAAACATTGATTTCAGACCCAAAGTGGTTAGATTGACCATTTGCTTTTCCAAAAGAGAAACTTGACATTTGTGTTGTGGCTCGGGACAGGGAGGGGCCTGCTGCTGACCACAGTAGGCGTTGTCTTGGGAACAGATGTGCCCTAGACAATAGCTAGATTTGTTGAATAGAAAATTATTTTATAAAACACAAGCAGATCATACATAAGAGAAGCAGCAGCGTGGGCTGACTACTGTCATTCCTTAATCAGACCCACCCATGTAGTTCTGCAGGTTTTAGTAGCAGAGGATCCTTGCCGGACACACATATTTTATTTCAAAACCTTTTTATGTGCGAACACTGAAGGGGTCTTTTGGTAATTCACTGATTTTAGATATGCTAGTGTCTGAAGCTCAATTGAAAGTTTTTATTTGAACTAATTTCAAATAAAGGCTTGAGCACATGACATGGTTGTGATAACCCAAAATGTATGGGTTCGTTAACGTCAGTGCAGTTAACTCAAATGGTAAACATAACCTCTGGGTCCAAAAAACAACAACAACTGTATAGACTACAGATGTTTGCTAAGTTCACTCATATTGACATATTGATGGAGTAAAGGTATAACAAACTAGTTCATGATAAAAGCTGGGTTCAGAAATTGGTTTTAAATTTAACTTTAGACTTTGTTTCAAATCTTTCCATAACAACAGATAAAAATTGCGCAAACAGGATAAGACCGGCCTTCCTACTCTGTGGTGTCATTCATTGAAATAGCAGATGAGCCTTCATTTAAACTGACCAGACCAGGTCAACAGAGCTTCAACTTCCAGCTCAAAAATAATGTAAAATAGAAGAGGTGTGCAATAAAAATATTTCACAACTTAAAATATACAAACAAATATGTATTAAAATACATAATTTAAAGAAAAGACAGGCACTTAAAAAAAACTTTAAAATGGTAGGCTAGCCTAACTTACTTTTTGAGAACACAAAAAAATCCATAGAAAAGGCCCAAATAAATGAAACAACTTGAAACTTAACCAGCAACCTTGAAGTAAAACGTTAGTAGTATTTCCAATGCTAGCCTACTACTGTTATTTCCAGTCAACATCAATCGTAGATAGATAGGTAGATAGATAGATGGAATCGATGCATTTGTAATGGTTTATTCCTTGCTTTTACTTACTTATTTTTTGCTATAGCTTAGATCACATTAAGATATAAAAAATCAGAAAGTATTAACCAACATGAGCCTGAGAGGCAATCGTGAGCGCGCGTCGTGCCCCCGTGGTGAGCGAAATGGAAAAGTTAGTGTGGACTGTGGAGAGAGTGAGTGAGAGCCGGATCTATCCGTCGCCATTACTGACTGGAATGAGAGGGGAGGGGATGGCTCTCCGATTGCACGCATACCACTTACTGCTAAAAGACTGAAAACAACCACTTTCGAGAAAATTTGCCGATTACTCCAACCACCCACGGGAAACACAACAAAACTGGAATTTGTTTCGGAATCGCATCCGTTGAAATTAAAGGAAATAGTTGGAATGCCACCTCCTATCTGTGGTGTCGGGAGCTGGGAGCGACCATGTTAGGTAGGGGAATGCACACGGAGTATGTGACTTTCTAGCAAGCTTTTTAGTCGTTTGCTTTACTGAATTTGGTTAAAGTGTGATTGTTTTTTCTATGTGTAAGCGATAGTTGTGTACCTTTAGGTAAATTGACAGATTTGTCTGTCTCGCCTACAGTGTGTTGTGTCGGTGTCACACTTAACTAGCTTTGGCTAACTGGGAAGCTAGCAAGCAAAGGAGGCATCTAATGCCTTGTTAGGAGCAAGGCCCGGGTCGATGCGAAAAAAAGCATATTAACACACATTCAACTGAACCAAATCGCCTGGTTATTTAATAGAACAAGCGCGTATGTGTAATTAATTTGATGCAATAAAACTACTCTGACGTGAAAATCAAATCCTGGGATTTAAATGCTGTGAATACTGGGTTAAGGTGTTTCTAAGTAAATGATTCACAAATTCATGCCAATTTGGACCCTCCGTTCAGTTCGCTGTTATAGCAATCATTATGAATAATTCACTGGACTGGTTCTGGGAATCGTCGCGTCCACATCTGATCGCAGTGTGGCTCGCGACTCGCCGTAACAATAGCGCTGCTGCTCGCGTGCTGGTCGGAATTCCTTCAGCAGATGCTTCTGTCTGCTATACATCCTGGCGCGTGAAATACAGTCCGCAGTCATTAACATACGCTTATGGACACTGATGTCCAATGTTTCCGTGATTTGACTTTCGTGAGGTCTTGTCTTTGATGTCCCATAAATGCGGCCGTTATTTATGACATTTACAACACAAAGGGTTAATTCGGTTAAAATTATTGTTTTGTCATCATATATGCTTCATACCAAATAAGATAATTTCAAAAAGTGTTTCCAGACCCGGAAAAATTAAGTAAATTATGTGCATTTCAAAAGCGAATCGATTTTTGAGCCGATTGTTCTTTTGAGTCGGTTCGATTCAATTGGTCAAAACGGTTACCAAGATAGTCTAAAAGATTCATTAGAGACTTTATGTGAATCTAAATGTTCTTTTAAAAGTCTCTCCCCCGGTTTGACAGGTTCCAGACTAAAATGCATGTTTGAGCTGTTTTAACTGAAAGCAGCTTGCACGGCCATATCTTAAAATGTCAGTGACATTTTTACCTCAAGATGCACACCAGTAATGTTTTTCTTTTTCTGCGGCGCGTTTATAAAAACTACTGAAATGCCATAATTGAACTAAGGACTAATCCTGGCTTAGTTTAAGCCCTGTCTGTGAAACTGAGCCTATCCAGTAATTATAAATTACTCAAATGGTATGGGAATTCATTAGTTAAAACTTTGTATGACAATATTTCAACTGTGGAGCACAGAATGACAGTCTTAGTTATCATTCACTTTCATTATGTTGAAAACCGATGCAATGAAAGTGACTCAGGCTGTCATTCTGTCTAACATCTCCGTTTGTGTCATACAGACTGAACGGCAGCAGCACTAAAGGATGACACAATTTTCATCAAAGCATCTTTATTCTTTTAAAAGATGCACTTCAGGCTTTACATTGCCAAATGTTGAATAAATGCATATTCAGTAGTGGTTATAGGTATGCTATCAGTGCCAACACTGAATTTAATGGAATTTATGAAATAATTTCTAGCAGTTATTTTGTTTATCATGAACAGATTTCTCTTGAGTGTAGATTAGTTAATTTGTTGCCTTATTTCTACTGACAGAGGCATTAATTTATCAGCTCAAAGCTTGTCACTTCTGATTTGTTCATTTTAATTTAAGTAGAAGTAGTGATACTGTGGCACAAGCTCATTCACTGGAATATACTTTTTTACTGAATGTTCCCCAGTATCACTACTCCTACTTGTATTAAGATCAATCAATGCTTGCGCTAGCTGAACATTCATGAATCAGATTTGTGAAGTGGATCGTGAAATTTTGGGATAGTTTTGTACCTAGAGTGGTTGTTTGCAGACTTTAACTGCAAAAAAGGGATATTAAAATGCATTATATTAGTAAATGCAATAATATTACCATTATAAACAGTTCTGCCATGCTTACATTTCTGCTGTCAATAATTATGTTGCTTATTATTTTGGTTGTGTGTGTTGTGATTGTGTCTAGGTTGTCAAGTTATCAAATGAAGAATATTAAATGATCAGTGTTCTGCTATTGTAAACTTTATCTTATTGTTGACTAATTTAATATTTTTGTTTTGCAGGTAGGTGATAGGAGGGGAAAGAGCAGTCGTGCGGGACAGATGATCCAGATTACATTGGCTCACTCAAAGTGAGACATGGAAATGTGCCTGCGCTAGCAAATGGAAGTACACGCTTGCCTTGCCGGCATACTTTGCTTATTGTAACAAGCAATGAGAGGGGCAATATAATGGCCAAGAATAAGGAGCCCCGTCCTACATACGCTGTCAGTGTCGTTGGGCTCTCGGGCACTGAGAAAGAGAAGGGCAACTGTGGTGTAGGTAAATCCTGCCTATGCAACAGATATGTACACCCCAGTGCGGACTGCTACTACTCGGAGCACACTTCTGTGTTGAGCACAATTGACTTTGGAGGGCGTGTGGTGAATAACGACCACTTCTTATACTGGGGCGAAGTATTACATCGAGGGGATGATGGCCTTGAGTGTAGAATCCAGGTCATCGAGCAGACTGAGTTCATCGATGACCAGACCTTTTTGCCTCATCGGAGCACAAACCTGCAGCCTTACTCGAAACGGGCTGCAAATACGAAGCTTCAGTCTGCTGAGAAGCTGATGTACATTTGCACAGACCAGCTTGGGTTGGAGCAGGATTTTGATCAGAAGCAGATGCCCGATGGCAAGCTCAACATCGATGGCTTTGTATTGTGTATCGATATAAGCAAAGGATGCAATAGAAAATTTGATGACCAGATGAAATTTGTCCACAGTCTTTATTCTCAAATTTCCAAGACGAAAAAACCCATAATCGTTGCTGCAACGAAATGTGACGAATGTGTCGAGCAATATCTGAGGGAGGTTCAGACGTTTGTTGCAGGTAAAAAGAATCTCATGTTGGTGGAAACATCAGCTCGATCATCTGTGAACGTGGAACTTTGTTTCAATGCTCTGACACAGCAGATGGACAAAACCCGAGGTAAACCCAAAATCATCTCTTATTTGGAAGCATGCAAATCCCAGAGACAATTAGTAGCTTCTGTCTCAGACAAGTTTGAAAAGCTCATTGTTCAAACTGTCCGAGATTATCACACAAGCTGGAAAATTGTCAGCAATAAGTTGAAAAGCCACCCAGACTATGAAGAGTACATCAACTTAGAAGGCACCAAAAAGGCCAGAAACATCTTTTCAAAGCACATCGGACAGCTGAGACAAGAGCATATCAAGAGGCGGCGTGAGGATTATCTTACCAGTCTGCCAAAAATTCTTAATAAGTTGCTTAACAACCTGGAGGAAATTGAGACTCTGAGTTGGACTGAGGCTCAGAGCCTTATGAAGAGCAGGCCTGAGTTTCAGTACTGTTTCATTGAGTTAGAACAAACGCCATGGTATGAGACCGACCACCTCGATAAAACTGACGACAGAAGAGTGCCCTTCGATGTACTCAAAACCATGGAAGGAGAGAGGATTTATCAAAACCACGTCCAGCATTTGATATCTGAGAAGAGGCGGTTGGAGATGAAGGAGAAATTCAAGAAGACGCTGGAGCGAGTGCATTTCATTAGCCCCGGCCAGCCGTGGGAAGAGGTCATGTGCTTTGTCATGGAGGATGAGGGGTACAAGTACATCACTGAGTCAGATCGCAGGGATGTTTATAGTCGGCATCAGCAGGAAATAGTTGAAAGGGCCAAAGAGGAGTTTCAGGAAATGCTTTTTGAGCACTCAGAGCTGTTCTATGACCTCGATTTGAATGCGACCCCAAGCTGTGACAAAATGAGTGAGATTCATGCCGTGCTTAACGAGGAACCTAGATACAGAGCTCTCCAGAAACTCGCCACAGACAGGGAGTCACTTTTACTGAAACACATCGGGTTTGTCTATCACCCCACAAAGGAAACATGCCTCAGCGGCACGGCTTGCATCGACCTCAAAGTCGAGCAAATCCTCGCCAACAGGCTAGTTCAGCTGGATCATGGCCGCTCTAATATCTACTACAACAGTGCCAACATTGAAAAGGTTAACCTGTGTCTCGTAGGCAGGGAAGGATTGGCGCAGGAGCTCGCAAATGAAATCCGAGCTCAGTCCACTGATGATGAATACACCCTTGATGGGAAAATCTATGAATTAGACCTTTTGCCTGTGGATGTCAATTCTGGCATGCTTTCGAACCATTCCTGGATATCGACTTTCAAGCCCCATGGGTTCTTTTGTGTCTTCAGCTCTATAGAGTCGCTTAATTACATTGGTGACCGCATAAGCCGAATACGAGCTGAGATCGCCCAGAGCAGAAGGGATAGGTATAGCCAGCCAGTGCCATTCATTCTTATTCTAGCAAATCAGCGCGACAGTATTTGCAAAAACATGCCTATTTTAAGGCATCAGGGCCAACAGCTTGCAAACAAGTTACAGTGTACTTTTGTAGATATAGCCACCGGCACTTTTCCCAGGAAGTTTAATGAGTCTCAGATAAAACAGGCCCTCAGAGCTGTGTTGGAGGGATTGAAGCACAATTTCGACATGATGAACCCCATGCCCTCAATTAAAGATCTGTCTGAGACAGATTTACGGATAGTCATGTGTGCCATGTGTGGAGATCCATTTAGCGTGGATCTCATTCTCTCACCGTTCCTGGACTCGCATTCCTGCAGTGCCGGACAGCCCGGGCAGTGCAACACATTGATCCTTGACAAAATCATCGGCGACAGTCGCAGACGCATACAGGTCACTGTGCTCTCCTACCACTCCTCCATTGGAATCAGAAAGGACGAATTGGTGCATGGTTACATTCTTGTTTACTCAGCAAAACGAAAGTCTTCCATGGCTATGCTGAGGGCATTCCTGGCTGAAGTCCAGGATGTCATTCCAGTTCAAATGGTGGCCATTACGGACAGCCAAGCAGACTTCTTTGAGAACGATGCGATAAAAGAGCTGATGACTGAAGGGGAGCACATTGCCACGGAAATCACTGCTAAGTTTACCGCTCTTTACTCGTTGTCCCAGTATCACAGGCAGACAGAAGTTTTCACGCCATTTTTCAACGAGGTCCTGGAGAAGAAGAGCAACATCGAAAGCTCCTTCATGTTCGACAGTAGCAGGGACGGAACAGGCACCGGTGAAGATGTCTTCCCGCAGTCCCCTCATAGCCATTCGCCTGCCTACCAATACTACCCTGACTCCGAGGATGATGGGGAGGGACCGCCACCTTACAGCCCGATAGGCGATGATGTGCAGCTGCTGCCTAATCCTAGTGAACGGAAGTACAGGATCGACCTAGAAGGAAACGAGTACCCGGTTCACAGCACACCTCTTGGTGATCACGAGCGTAACCACAAAGTGCCTCCCCCAGTAAAACCCAAGCCTAATGTGTTGCCCAAACCCAATGTTAAGAAGCTGGACCCCAACCTTCTGAGGACCATTGAGGCTGGAATGAGGAACTCCAGGAGGACGCGAAGTCCAATGATGGGTCACGGTGATGACCTCGAAGCATCCGACAACTATGCAGAGCCGGCCGACACTCTTCTCAAATTCAAAGGCTTTAGTGATGACATATATGCAGTACCGGAAGACGCGCACAGTAGATCTGGCAAGAGCCGCAACTCGTTCGGTGGACTCGCTCTGCACGGGGACGAGGAGAACGGCTTTGACTCCATGTCTAAGTCTCAGGGTGGCAGAAGGCCTTCTAAGTATAAACATCGTTCTAAGATCCTCTTCAGCAAGACAAAAGCTTATCAAAGACGAGTGCACTCAGATGTCAGTGACGATGAGTCGGGGCCTGCGACGCAGAAGAAGAAGAAAGGAAGGGGTAACCGAGGAAGTGAAGAAGATCCACTTCTCTCACCAGTGGATCCTTGGAAAGGAGGGATAGACAATCCAGCCATCACATCTGACCCAGAGCAGGATGATAAGAAAACAAAGAAAAAGAAAGCACCAAAGATCAAGGAACCCAAAAAGGTGAGCTGGTATTTTTTTTTTCATTTCAATTTTTTACGTATGGACTCAATTATTATTTAAAACTCCAAGGATTTTGAATCATATAGGATTAGGTACCACATCGACTAATATTATAGATTTTGAATTTAATTGTTTGTGTTGATATTGTGTATTTAATTGTGCATGCTCATTTCTCTTATTTTAAAATGTAGATTACCTTTGCTGGTGTCTACAGCTCAAAGTTAATCTTTAAAAACTATAAATTATAATTTAATCAAACTTTTAAATCTTTAGTAAATCTTCAAAATGAATATCATTTTTTAATACTGTACATTGTGATTTTACAAAATAGCATATAATTGTAATATTATTTGCCAGAATTGTCATATATGTGCATCCTTTAAAAGATTTCCAAAAGATGTTATATTATTTCTAAGATCCTTATTGAGAAGATGATTATATGATAATAATTTCCAATATTCTCCTATTTAAATGCTAACAGCAGGCACATTGAAACGTGATTGTTGTCAGTATGAATTGTAGTGATCATAGAATCTAATGTGTTCTCTTTTCTCAACAGGCAAAGACAATAAAGACCACAAAGCCATTGTACCCACCAACTCGTAGAAATTGGGAGAGCAACTATTTTGGAGTGCCTCTTCAGAACTTGGTCACTCCTGATAGACCCATACCTTTGTTTATTGAGAAGTGTGTTGACTACATTGAGCGAACTGGTAAGTTTACTGTTTTTAACCGCTGAATATCCGAATAGCATCTGAAAATGTGTAAAACTCTCGTGTCAGTTCTCCGTTGGAAGGCTGATTGAGAATTGTATGTTTCTTGAGTTTGCAAGAATGAAGTGATATGTTTTAGTCATTTTTGGTTTTGGCATTTTTTCATTTAGTAGATTAGTAACATTTACTAAAAACTGGTCCTGAGTTGCTTCACTGAAAATTGTACATTTGTGCGTTTCACATTGCATACGTTGTCTGCCTGATACAGTCTATATTTCAGAGCACAGGAAATTCTGTATTCGGTTCAGATACCATCAATGAGTAAATTAATGAATGAAATCCATTTCTATTAGGTAATAAAATCTGACACAATAAGAAGTTGATGGGCAGGGGAGGAGGAAGTCAGTCTGGTAAATGATTGAATGGATTTTTATGGCACGTTGTGATGATCTAATTTTTCCCAGAGCACTTTGTTCAGTTAGATTATGGTTTGCATTTTCATGGACTGACTCTGCTAATGATATGTAAACACTGAGGCCCAGCATATATCATAGCCACGGGTGGGTTTAACATAATTTCTGGACATGCTTAGCATTTTTGGATTCCAACAAAGTCTGCTTCATATGCTTAAAGCAGTGATAGAGGCCTCTTTACTGTGGCTGTTTGTTTGGTTACAACATGCCCTTCAGTAGCTTGTTCTGTAACTGTGGTCAATGGAAACTTTGACTAACACTGCTGTCAATAAGCCCAACCGACCCGTAATATAGCTTGAGGTTTCATTAGTGAGTAGGTGACACCCACATACTGTCGTTCAGGTTGGTTGTGGCTATTGATCAGTGAAACTCATGCATGGATGACATGCATTGATGTGGTTTCTTAAGGAAATTATTAAGCTGCTGTTTGTGGTTGTGGTTTTTATGGTGAGTACTGGAAGTGGGCAAAGTGTGTGGTGAGTGTAATACTAGGTCAATTTGCTGGTTGGACTGGTTTTGATTTGTGTGTGTGTGACCGTACACCCGTAAAGCCCATATGTGGTGATCTGAAACAATCCGGATCCGAAAAAAAGTTCCTTTTTTAATTTTTTTTGCTGATCTCATGTTTAGATCTCACATAGTGCTGTGTGCACTGTTAATGTGCAGGACTATTGATTAGTTGGTGAGTGGCTTGATTTTCTCTGTGACACATGCAGGTTTGTGGTCTATATGGAAGCATTTAGCACCATCATTTAGCTTAAGAAATTGGGGTAATTTATAAAATTATAAAGGCACAATATTAACGTTTCTAAAATATTTAATGTCAATGCTGATGGCAGATAAATAAATGCTATGAAAATTCTACACAATTTTGTCTAATAAACTAAATGACTAAAAATTTAAATCAGGCATTTTAAATGATTCAGATGACAACATAAAGTACAATATTAAAATATTTCCTTTTACATTTAGCTGTGGATGATATTAAAATTTCCACGAATAAACCAATGAATTATTATTTTAAAGGGTTAGTTCACCCAAAAATGAAAATGAAGTCATTAATTAATTACTCACCCCCATGCTGTACCAACCCCGTAAGACCTTCGTTCATTTTCGTAACCCAAATGAAGATATTTTTGATTAAATCTGATAGGTGGATCACTGCTACATAGGCTCTTAATAGGCCCTGACGGTCCAGAAAATCATTAAAGAAAATGTTTAAATATTCCATGTGCCTTGTGGGCCTTGAGACGAGAGTTGAAGAGATTTCCAGAACGCATGCGCGAGAACTGAGCAGTCCCTCCAGAAAAACGCGATTATGCGATCGCTGAATTCAATGCAAAATCAGCCAAAGTCCGCATATTTATGCGGGGGCCGCATTTTTTCGAATAAGCCGCACTTTCGCCGCATAAAATGCCGATTTCCACGCAAAATATGCGGGGCTCGCATGATTTCATAATCCTCGTATTTTCGTTGCAAAAAAAAGTCACATATATCTTCGCAGAAAGTTGAAAAATGTTGCGTTTGCTTCATACAAGAGCAGCCATTTCCTCCGGTTTCCATGGGAACGTTATGAAGTGACGCAATTACGCGACGGGATAGCTCACAGCTGAAGTTATTGCAGAGGCCAGAAAGACTCACGGAGGCGATTGACATCTCACAAATCGAACTCGTATAACTGTCTGTCACACGTTCTACCATCACATCGTTACTTAATAAACAAAATAAGATAAAAGAATAAGCATCAAACAGAAATTACCCGCACACGACATGGGGTGTTTGAGGCGCACACACTGCAGACAGTTCAGCGCGCAGCTCTTAAAGGGGCCACACCTTATTTACACTCGTTACATTCTGAAATAAAACATTGCTGATTTTGTAATTGTGAAAGAGAGTCTATTGTGCACTTATTGTTTGAATGTCCCTATTTTTCAATCTTTTGGAATGAGATGTCTCAATTTCTAGGTTTTAAAATGAATTGCAACCTTGTCTTAAATTTGTCATCTTCATACAAATGATTTTGACTTTCCTATAAGAAAAATGTATGTTATCGATTTTTTCTATTATTAGGAAAATTTCATATTCATCAAACTAAGTGGAGTAGCCTAACTCAAAACCCAACTTTGCTCATTTCAAAACAGCCTTTAAAATGTATTTTGAGTCTTTAAAATTTAAAAAAAAAAATCGAAAAGCCCAAAAGATCTGTATCTCTGCTAAAGGAATTTAATATGTCTGTGATGCCCTCTATCTTTTTTTTTCTTTTTTTCTTTCTTTTTTTTTTTTTTTCCAAATTATTGTTTCATGTTTTAGGCTACTTCTCAGATGTTATACTTTTCAGAAAATGTGTAAAAGAAATGTCAAGAACTTGATATCAAACTCTGTGATTTTGAAAATTTAATAAAAATAAAACAAGAGAGAAATTAAATATTCCCAGCACTTTCTATGAGTTAGTATGCTTGCTACATCATAGAAAGTAATAAGAAATGACTCTTTACATTAAGGTAGTAGCCTAGTGAGAACAGGGTGTTGGGGGAATCACTTTTTTTCTCTTTTTCATCAAACCGCAGTTTTTGCAAGTTCCCGCAATTTTTGCAAGTTCCCGCAATTTTTGCAAGTTCCCGCAATTTCATCGCATAAAATTGCATAAATATCCCGCATATTCCATCGCATTTTTAAAGAAAACGGGCCGCGTAATCAAGGATTTTTGCCCGCAACAATCACAAAAAAACTCCGCGTTTTTCTGGAAGGACTGACTGAGATGAGGACGTTCTTCTTCGACTACTTCTTGTTACCGGCTGCTCACCGCTTAGGAGTATTACCGCCACCTACCTTATATATACGAGCTGGTAATGTCATCTCATATGGTAGGTGGCGGTAGGTATATAAAAAAACGAGTATAAACATTATTACATCATTAAATCATTATTTCATCAATTGTTAATTTTTAATACATTGATTTTTCTTGAGAAAAATAGACATAGATACTGTACCTGATATATATCCAAATGAATCAATGTTGAATAGAATTTAATTGCAATCAGAATGTGAATCGAATCGTGAAATTTGTCTGTTCAGCACTATAAATGAGCATGAAAAGTGATATCCAATAACAACCAATATATGAACAATATTAACCAATAGTGATTTAAAAATATTAGAATATAGTAAATAAATATTTATTATTAATAGTCAGTATTAATAGTAAATATTTATTATATTTGTGCTATCACTTTAAAATCAAGCCGTATGGTCTGTGGTTGAATCTGGACCTTCTTTGGTTTCCACTAGAATGAGATGAGATGGCACATTGTGCCCGTGGCTGCATCTGAGCATCGCGGGGCTCTGTTTAAGAGCTTTTTGAAAGCATCTTGCTTCACAGAGCTGTGCAGATGAAAAGGTTCATCAAACACCCTGCCCCCCAAGCCAAACGCTCACTCCCTCCCATTTATGCCCCTCTATCTCGCTCTGTACTGCATTGTGAAACCCAGAGGAAATTATAATACTTGACTCAAAAAAAGTAGTCCAACAATCCACTCCTCCAAACATGGCGTATATGCACACACACACAGTCCTTTATTTCTTGTGGCCCATCATTTCTGAAAACCAAGAGCCTGTGGCGTTAAAAACTGTATGGAGAAAATGGACTTTATGGATGTTTCCTAATTGACTTTCATGGCTCATTTAGGCCTGGATGCTTCATTTATCCATCAGAAGAGAACCACCATTGTCATTTCCTCCTTGCAGGGCTTCACAGTAATAACCTCTTCTGTGTGCAATGTTATGGATGTTTAGATATTTACATGAGACACTAACCATAAAATAAACCATGAACTTGACAGACACATTTCATCAGTTCCAGCAAAATTTCCCAAGCCTTGAATAGGACTACATAATGGGTTGACCACAGTGCATAATCTTTGGATCTCACAGTAACATGCTTCTATAAAAATAGACATTTTGTGGCAGTTTTAGAAATGTTGCTACAAATACGATGCAAATTAGGTGCATTTTAGTTGACCTGATGTGTTCTTATGGGTGCAGTGGTGCGTTAAACAGCTCTGTGGAAAGGAGGTACCATTTAAAAACAGTTTGCATGTTTGAACATTAGCAAATTATTTATGCAACAAATCTTTTCCTGGAAATATTGTATATTAATATTACAATTAGTGTATGTTTCACTTCCAATATTTCCAGTGCTGTGCAATACAAATAATAGGGTAATATTTCAATGCATTTAGTTGCATAGTAATATTACAATTCCAATTAGTTAATAGTCCAAGTTTGAGTATTAACTAATTATTTATTCAACTAAACATTTGCTAAAAATATTTGAGTATTAATTAATTGGAATTGGAATTTTACCATCCAACTAACTGGGGTTGGAATATTAACTAATTGTTTAAATAACATTTATATTTATTCATTTTGCTGACGCTTTTTTCCAAAGCGACTTACAATTGCTATATATGTCGGAGGTCGCACGCCTCTGGAGCAACTAGGGGTTAAGTGTCTTGCTCAGGGACACAT